ATTTATCACACATGACATACTTCTATACATTTTAACCCTGGAAATAAGACAAGTAGTGGTTGTTTGAAAAAATAATTCCAGGTAGCCATTTGGTTTGTATCAGGAGAAACTGAACCTCCAAGAGCTTAGTGTCTGCCAAGTCTGGAATCTACCTGGAGTCAGTACATGCGTGTACTACCTGTGTACTATGTGTGTACTATCTGGAGTCAGTGCACACTGTGCTAGGCCGGGTTGGCTGGAGAAACAAATCCAGTGACACTCATCCATGTGTAAGAGAGGGCTTTCTGTCAAGAAGTCATTGTAGAAAACAATGCCTGATACTAGTCCATCAGTCCCTCTTCAGACTCACACAGCCACATGCCATGAGGCAGACTGCAGGAAGACCACAGGCCAGTGGCTACAGTCTTGTGGATCCAATGGCGGCGGAAGCATCACAAGGCTCTGTCAGGTCTCAGCCTCATGGCTGGTCAATTGGAATGTACAGGGGAGAGAGAGAGAGGAAGTTTCCGGGATTCTCCCTATGAGAAGGCCGTGCCCACAAGCAGGTACCTTCAGGCCGTGACCTGATGGACAGGCTAGACCCCACCCCCTACATTCCATATATCAAGCTGACCCGAAATGATGTAACTACCACAGTAGCATACTTCATAGGGACTGCTTCCCCCTCCTGACCATGCCTCTTGCAGTACGTGCCAGATGGTGACGCAGCTCTAGGACAACCCTGGCTTGTGGCTTCCCTCTGTCCTTTCTCTGGAGTGACTGTTCGTTCCTCCCCCGTGGCCATCCACTTAGTTATTCCTAAGTCCTCCCAGGATATCCTCAGAGGGGAAGTTCTGGAGGTGGAAAATCCAAGGGAGGGACATTGGGAATTGGAATGTGCTTGGCTTTCTCAGTATTGGTTGCAAACCTCTCCCAGGAAGAAAAGGCGTTAGTGGTTTCTGAATGTGGTGACAAGCTCCAGAACGCATTTTTCTACAAAATCAGTATCTACACCCAGCTCCTTTTCCATGGGACCCTTTAGAAGCCTGACCTTTTCTGCTTTCAGTCATTAAT